GGCCTTCACGGATAGCAGCCACAGCATTTGGGGCATCTGAGTTTATGCCGCTGGGTTCTGCATTAGGTCGTTAGTCTTCCCTTAGCGAAGTATACACAAGTGACAGCTCAGTCACAGTGTCCCTGCTGGCTTCCCCAGAATGATTGCGGCCCCCGAGGCCTCCCTGGGCATTACTTTGAGATGGGAAATCTCAGCCTCAACTGGAGTTTAGCAACAGTAAAGAAAAACAAAACAAAATGCAATTTTCCAAAATCACGTTCACCAGTTCACCAAAGCTCCCATACATACATATATGTATATAGCTATACATATATGTGTCCATATGTACATTGATATATATTGATATCTCGTGGAGGTGGATTCTTTGCACATTTCCTCATCGGAAGAGCAATCAGAATTCAGCTATGTTGGGTGCTGAGTATGTAGATCAGGGTAGGTGGGAAGTGATGTGGCTTAAAGATTTAAGATGAAAGTTTGTGCAGGAAAAGCTTTTCAGTAATTCTAAATACTCCCCCCCCCTTTTCCAAAATTACAAAAACATTGTAAATGTTTTTTTCTTCATTCAAAATGAAATTTGCACAAGTCACCAAGATTCTTATGTCTTTTGTACATTTTGACTTTGCTGGCTATTGAACTTTTTCTAGATTATTTTAGTGCCTTAGAAGAGACTTGGCAAGAAGAACAGCGCATGAGTGTGTATGTGATCCTGGAGAAGTGCAAACTGCACTTCACACACCAGTTACGGGGATCCTTTGGACCTGGATCTCTTGACCGACTTATGTAGTCATTAAACTGGCCCACGTTTTATTTTGCTTTTCTTATCACTTCTAGAGGGGAAAGGCATAAAAGTTACTTGTCTGTAATTCTCCCTAATCTTGTGGAGAAACTAAGGACTTGAATACGTCATTGAACGTGTTTAGATGGAAGGAAATCTGTGAAGTTCAAAGGACAGATTGAAACTGCTGCTGGATGTCCTTATCTTTCAGACACCTCCTTCTTCTTCAGCCTGACTTAGGTGTTCAAAAAGAAGCATCCCAGCAGGGCCCAGTGTGGCCTTTTGCGTGCCAGGTGGCGTGGTGATCATCCCACCTCTGTCTTTTGTGCCTGACTTCGACAGTCTCTTTTCCACAGAGAGTTTCTATAGCAACAATAAATCAAATGATGCCATGCTTTGGACCAGAGCCTGGCAATAGTTTTCCATCTCAGAATGAATCCTAAAACATCACTGTTGCCTTACCAGTAGGTTTAGCACATAATTTATCATCCAAATGGCCTCTTTTCGTCATGAAAGGGGTCTATGGCAGAACAGGTGTAAACCAGGGTCATTTCAGCAAGCCAGGACCCAGCAGCACTTACTCAGAGGCCCTGAGTGACTTGGCCAGCCACCTCTCAGTTCTAGCTCTATCTTCCTCCTCCATCTTCACCTAGCTCAGTAACCTATTGGATGCATTTCAAGAATAAAGGCAGGGCCCCAGCTGCCCGGAAGATTCTTTCCCTGACATACCCGCTTGCCTTGCTCTTTTTATTTAATCCAAGTCTCAACTAGAATCTCACTATTTATACCTCTAGTGACCCTCCTAAAATGCTTTCCTCTTTCCCCTATTTATACTTTTACTTTCCTTGCCCCGTCTGTGTTCCCTTGTAGTTCTCATTACATGATGGTGGTCTGTCTGTGTATCAGTCTGTTTGGAATGCACCTGTCTGCCATCTATCTGTCCATCCATCCATCTATCATCTAGCTGTTCTGTTTGCACGATTACCAGCTAATTGGGTATGTCTCCCCCCCCTACCAGAGGGCAAACTGCATCGTGGATGAACCTTGTCTTGTTTTGCTATGTGCCCAATGTCTAGAATAGTGTCTGATACTAATAGACACATGTTTCATCCTTCATATTGAAAGAAGACATGAGCACATGTATGGAAGAAGACATCACTGACAAGGCAGCTACAAATAATGGGACCATAATATACTTACTCTGGGTTATTTATATTGGGTCTATGTAATTTGTCTTTGTAAAGTCAAATCCTAACAACAGTACTAAGAGAAACACCTGAAATCAAGTGTGAAAACTGTGTATGCAAGAAAACCTTGTACACAGTGCAGGAAAGAAACCGTGTTTGGACACAGAGCTGGAGAACACTGTTTAGAAGGTCTTCAGATACTAGCTTTCTCTGTTTCTTTAAGAATCTGCCATTTGAAACGTTACCAAGTTCAGCCATAGCCTTATGATTCCCCATAGCGGCTCTTGCACTGAAATTGAGTCTGTATAAAAACAGCCATTTCCCAGAGGGATGAACAGAGAAGGGTAGTAACCTCTGCCGGATGGTCTATAAACTTCAACGGAGGAGAATGCCTGCAAGGCTCTCTTTGTTTTGGTTTTTTTCTTTGGGGTGACGATAGGCAGTATAAATACACTGTAACCGAGGTTTTCACAGACACTTTAATATGAATGAAATCCACCTGAGCACAGTGTAGCACCTTCTCTAGCCCGATGTGTTTCTTACTAACTGTTCTCCACGTACGTGCTGGAGTTAGTGATGTGCTGTGTAACTCGGCATTATTCTAGATCAGTGCTTCTCAGCCTGTTCTCGACCTAAGAAAGACCACTGGCAAACACAGGTGTTTACATTATGATTCTCCACCATAGCAAAATTACAGTTATGAAGTTACACTGAAGGTAAGTTTCTGGATGGGGGAGGGTCACCACAACATGAGGAGCTGTGTTAAGAGGTCACAGCCTGAGGAAGGCTGAGAAGCACGCCTCCAGATGAAGGCTACTGACTTTGCAGAAAATAGACGTTGATGCTATGGCCTGAGCAACATGGTTTCTACAGAGAAGGCTACTAAGGTACTGAGGGGTAGGGTCAAAAAAAGGGGGAAAAAAGGAAAAATATAATTATTCAAGTCTTTTGCAAGTCTCAACACCAGAAATCTGAGTAAAATTTAATAAGAATCCACTTAAATGGATGTATGCAATTTGCCTCGTGTCCACCAAAGCATAGAACACTTTTTCTTTTCTTTTCTTTTTTCATGCAATACCCTGGACCTGCTCCATCTAATTAAGAGAAAGGTCATCCACACACAAAGTATGTTGCTGAGTAGCTGGATTAATCTTTTAACAAAGTCGTATTTCTAATTCCCTCACCCTCAAACCTTGGGTTTAACTAGCCTTTCAGCCGTGTGCTCTCCCTTCTGTCCCTCCTTCCCTCCTTTCTAACTGATGGCCATTTTCAGAAGTCCTGTGCTGTCCTCCAAACCCTTTATACAGTCTTCTGTCCTAAGAGAAGCTTTGTGCATGGCGCCGCTGCCTTAGCCTGTGGTCTCTGCAGCCTGCTACTCCAAATTCCCTTCCCCTCTTCAGTGCAACTCGTGAGCCCTGCAGTTTCCAGGCCCAGAGTTAACTCAGGGTGAAAGCGTGCTGTTTGCCTGCAGGTTGATGTTTGCTTTTCTGGTTGGCAAGATGGATAAGGACTTAAGCAATGCCCTCTGTGCACCTAGTTTACATCCTGACTCAGTGGAGGGAACTGTCTTTCATATCCCAAGGTGGCTATTTCTCCACAAGCTCCCCAGCCCTGCCCTGAAACGAAACTGTCTAAGTTCTACGTTGTCCATCATGTTGGCATCCAGAGCTTGTTCCTGCTGGTCCCTTCATGGTGTCAGGTGAAGCTCGTTCAGTCTAGGAATGGGGATCTTGGTGCGGCAGTAGAGTAGCCGCACGTCAGAGCAGTAGCCAGACGCTGAGAAGAGAAGCCTATGGGCAGGCAATAGTGTGCAGCCTGCCGAGCAGCCATGGCACGCTCTTGGAAAGAACAGCCGTTGCTGACACTTGTGTGTGTATGCATATCCCCACACATTTCGGCTGAAGAGTATTTCCGGAATCCTTGGCAAAAGAAAGCCATGGTGCCTGCTCAGACCTCTCCGCGTCAGCCCAGTGTAACACGCCTTACTTATCACAGAGCTAAGGGGGCTTACACTCGGAATGGGCTCCTTCGGCTCTGTTCACGGCTCTGCCCTCTGCTGTAGCTTCCATCCCAGAGATCTCCAGTGGTTTCATCAGATTTGGAGTCAGTGTCTCTGATGTGTTCGCCTCTGACCTCTGACCTAAACTTCAGTAGTGTTATTTTCAGCTGTTCTTTGTCAGGGATCCAACAGCTGCTGCTTAATACCACAGACAACTTCTGACACAGCCAGAGCTTCGAGCAATAGGATTAATCTGTGATCCTGACTCTGACTTGAAGCTAGTTGCAGATGTGTTTTTTTTTTTTCCAGGTACAAATGGGGATAAAAGAAAGAAAAGAAAACAAATGTCCACAAACAAACAAACAAACAAATAAACAAATCATCTTTGATATAGATAAAAAGTAGCAGCAGAGTGCTAAGTGTCCTAACAGCTGCTTGCTAGCTGAATTTGAAAATACTGTTCAGAAAACCATCATAAAGAAGTCCTGAGAGATGTGTACTTACAGATAAATGCTGGGTAAAATGTTTTAAAAATACCTCCAGGAAGCTCTGAGAAAATGTGACCATTCCACAGACTTCATTTGGCAAAGTCCATTAAGTTGTAGGTAACAGACTAACTTAAAAATATTTTGAGCAACTTTGTGACTTAACTCCTCAAACAAATAACCAGAAAGTTTTAAAAAGGTCATTTTTAGTAGTTTTCTTTGCATGAAGAAGATTTGAAAAGATTGATATCCAGGTCAGTGACTTTCTGGTTTCAAAGTCCATAGTTACAACTGTTTAGTTTCAGTGGCAAAACTAATTTGGGTTGTCAGGATAGAGTTTTTTTTTTTTTTTTTTTTTTTCCATTAGCTATCAGACATCAGCTGATAGGCAAAGCGCTCAAAGCTGTCCCTCCAGTTTCAGATAATGGCAAAAATAACAGGCACTTACGGTTACCATACTAGGGGTGTGGCTGGTACGATCTCTCTCTCTCTCTCTCTCTCTCCCCATCTCCCCCTCCCTCACGATAAGCTCAATGGGGCTGTCTATTTTTAACTTCCTGTTCTTTCCTTTTGGCTGGGTAACCAGTGTGAGCAGAGAGCGTTCCCTGAATGAGTCCCGGCAGCCCCATGGAAGCCTTCTGACATGAGCAGCAGACAAGCATCCTTTCGGAGGTTGCTCAGGGTTTAAACCCTGCTTCTAAAGTGCCATGTCCTGCGGAGGAAGTCCTCATGTGGGTGTTTCCACCACCACTGTCAGCTCTGTAGCCGTGCAAGCTGGGGACTCCAAGATTGTCATAGCAGTTGTCAAGGTAAACTCACAGCTTTCTTTTCTCTGTGTGGCTGGGGGGAGGGGAGCTTTTTGGTGCGCTGAGAGCCCTGGAGGGTAATGCCCACTATCACAAGATACAGAACAGAGCAGATGAAGAGTAACAAGTGATCCCAACCACTTAAATCAGTGACAGAGGCTGCTAAGTTTCTACAAGTTGCCAGTTGCTTTCCAGCTTAGAAAGCCATGGGCTGAGACTTCAAACAAACTTGACCGAATACTTTCAGTTTGGTCCTTAAAAGCAAAGCACAGTAGGAGAGAGGTCCAGGAATGACAGGTGAAGAGCCTGGTGGAGCAGGCCAGTGCCTGTGATTTTTTGAGTGGGTGTGATGGGGATGGGAGGAGGAAGGTCAGAGTGGGTCACCGTCCTGAGGAGGATGAAGAACAGCAATCACAGAGATTCCTGCAAGGGCCTCCCAGAACTGGTTTTCACTGGTAAAGGCAGCACTGCACACTTCTCCCATTTTCAGGGGATGGAGACTGCCACAGACTGTACGGTAAACCAGCCTTTGAGAGCAGGAAAGTGCAGCCATTTGGGGCTTAACGTTTTGTCTAGCTGTTTGCAAAGTTGGCCACACATCTTTGGGTTGTAGAGGGTCTCCATGATTTTGTTCTTCTTTGACTGAAATAATTGTGAAAAAAAAAACCCTCTAGAATATAAGTTTGCTCTTTAGATGATTTTCCACCTAAAAATATTCATGTGTAATGAAAGCAAACCTGACAATGAAAAAAAAGAAAAAAGCTGGCAAGGAGGCCAGCTTTTAATTTAATTGCTGCAAAATTTGAAAATTTTGTAGGAGGAAACAGAACTTGACTTTGAACAAAGCGATTCACTGTGGAAGCCTGGAATTTAGGGTTCTATTCAAGGCTGAGTTCCCAGTGCTGGGAGAGTCCTGTACAACAAACAGGACCTTAGCTCAGGTGCCCTTCCCTTCCCCCACAGAGGTTTGAGTGGGAATGCCAGGGCATCAAAGCCTCATTGTGAAAACTGATCACTCTCACACAAATAATGATGCTTTGGGCAACTTGCAGATCCCAGCAGGGAAGGCGAAGAAGCAAGTCTATGCCTTTTTTAAAAAGTAAACATTACTTTTTTTGCAAACTTAAAATAGTCTTAGAGGAAACTGAGTCACAATGCTTGGGGAGTAACCTGCAGGGCAGTCAGAAGTACAGAGAACAAACTTTAAAAAGAGAGGGGAAGTCTTTTTCACCAGATTCTGTTTCTCAGGACTGCCAAACACAGTCCACACTCCAGCAAATAAAACACACCTAGGTCTCTTCAGAGAACAAAGTCTGTATTGACGAGGAGAAACGCCCGGGTCTGGCCCATGGTGAAGCTCCCTCTTTACCTGTGTAAAGTGTCACTGATGGTCTAGAGTTGTCCGTGAGGGGTACAACTGTGTGGGTTTATCCAGTGACTTAGAGATGAAGACTGAAATGCACATATCTCTTGGGAATTTAAAGAATTTAAACCCACTGTTTAAATTCTAGGAATAAGAGAAAACAAAGCATGGGTTTGTATCAGACCTGTTGGGTTTCAACCTGTTAGGCCATCACTGTGGAAGGAGGAAGTGTTCTTCGAGTGCCTGGAAATTAAAATTAAGACGAGAGGAAAGGGGAAGGGCAAGAGAGAATAAAAGCTCATTTCACATTTGATTTTTAGTGTGGCGAGTGGGTACAACTCCAACTGGCTGAATCACAGCCCAATCTCCTGGAAATTGGGAGCAGTCAAGACGAAACAAAAAAACTGCTTCATGACCATGAGCTGCTCCTGGCCAAGCTTAAGGTAAGACTGTCATATTTGAAGCAAAGGCAACGCTACAAAGGAGGAGGATGCCAGTTCTCACGTTCCTCTGGTCCCCTGGTCCCGCTGCTGGCTTTGCCCTTATAATATGATGCTGTCAGATAATGCAAGAACTACTGTTGTTATGTTCATGCATCAGCAGAGGAAAGAAACATCAAGGGCTAGACAAACAGCTCCGTTGGTCGGTGGAGTGCTTACCTTGCAAGCATGAGGACCTAGGTTGGATCCCTAGAGCCTGTGGAAAAATGCCAAGCATGGCAGCCCAGGAAATGGGAGGAGCCCCAAAGTTTGCTGACCAGCTGGCCCAGCCCAATTGGTGAGCTACCTGCCAGTGAAAGCCACCATCTCAAAAGACGTTAATGGTACTCCTAAGAATGACCTCTGTCCTCCACAAGAACACACATGTGGACAGACACACAGACATGTACAATGAAATAAGTAACAAGCTGTGTGTTGTTTTTTTTTTTTTTTTTTTTTTTTTTTTTTTAATTTTCCCTAGTGCAATGGGAAATAGAGAGGGACAATATTTCGAAGTATTTTCAGAATTAAGAGTTCCCTCCACTGGCTACCTCCGTGAAAACAAACTCCACTACCTTTTCATTCTATTAAGTTACCAACACACAACATCAGAGCTGACCTTTTTGTTGCTAATGTGACCTTCTGATAAGAACAATTTAGAGGAATCGTTAAAACAAACAAACACCGATTTTCAGCTTAGTATTAAGAATCCTTGAAACCAGATGACATTGTTAGTAAAATCAGACCCAATGCACGGTAGTTAGTTAAGAATGTAAAATTAACACTGATTGGGGTTTGGCAAGTAAGGGCAAAGCCAGCTACATAATTTGTGAGGTTCAGTGCAAAATGAAAAGCTGTCATAGTGTTTTTCATTCTGTGTTTAATGCTTTGGGTATGAGCAGACACTACAGGCGCCTGAATGTGGAGCATCACTCTCAGGCAGCATGCTCTACAAGGAGCCAACTCAGTGAGAGTGAGAGAGAAGACAGAGAGCAGACAGTGCCCTTTCCCGGGGAGATGGTGTCCTGTACTAGGAGGGTCCAGATCCCAGCATTTGATTCATGATCTGTGGGATTCACGTAGAGAACATAAACAGAAAGAGAAACATCCCTAACATTTCCAAGACAAGGACAGACAGAGTGCAAAATCCTGTGCTGCCCTCCTCTGAACGGAAGGATGAAGCTAGCACTCTGTGCTATAAGGTTCACGTGTAAGGAAATAGATAACTCTGTGACGATCAGAGAGGCTTGATGAAGCTGGGTGCAGTGGAGCACTCCGATAATCCCAGCACTTGGGGAGCGAGAGCCAGGTGGGTTTCTGTGAGTTCGAGGTCAGCCTGCTCTACAGAGTGCGTCTGGGACAGCCAAGGCTACACAGAGAAACCCTGTCTCGAAAAACCAAAACCAAAACAAAAAGGGTTGATGAAGATTCAGAGTCCTGAATTGGTCAGGATACTCTGTGATATTGGACTTTAATAATACTGGTTCTCTGTGGTGTTTGTAGGCTGAAATGCATATTTTATTTCTAACTCAAGAATCAAGTCTAACCTATATCTGCTTTTAGACTGTGAAAAAAGTAATTAATTGGGTAAAAATGACCCAGAGGGTGAAAGAGGGATCAGTGCGGAAGAAGACAACCTTTAGAATCTGGTATTTACCCCCTTGTTTGACAGCTCCTTACTCTGGGGTTTGGGATCTGAATTGGCACTCAAGGTAGCAGGCCCTGGTCATTCAGGAAGTCTTGTGTATATTGAAAAGAAACAACACCAAATCTGAAAGAACGTTGGACCAAAAATCAAAAGACCTTTGTTTAGCTTCAGTTATGTCACAAGTTAATGTGACTTGACAAACAATTCAAAGTCTTCCTGTTACCAAAAAAAGCTTCAATACATTCTTGAACCTTCTGTCAACCGCAGAAACCCAATACTGTTCCCTGTCCATTCCTGAGGTTTGCTTCCCCATGGTCCATGGGTCCCCAGCTCCTCTCTCTGCACCTGCCAATAGTTGTGGACCTAATTTGGACCTAAGACTACATTCCTTTCTCAGTTCCCACTAACTCGTGCTGTCTGGTATTTCCTGGTTCACTGATGAATCATGACCGGTGACTGATGGCGGATTGGGCCTTTGGGACTATGGCTTTTCATCTCTCATTATCTTTGAGTAGAAGACTAGAAGACATGCTTTCTTAGGTAGAACAATGTGGCCCTCCCCAGTTCCATGCTCTTATTTCTGCATCTGAATCCACCTGGATCTCAGCTGGACAAAGGGCTTCCATTTAACAGGCTCCATCTGCCTTTCAGGGCACTTTGGGCTCTAGATTCTGAATACCTGATTCTTTTAGGCCAGATTTCAGGCTGTGGATTAACTACTTAAATCTTCTGAACGCCAGGTCTTTATCTGCAAGATAAAGAGGGAGGACGCCAAGGAAAATCTATTGGGTTTTATCATGATGTGGTGTGGAATCTGGAGTCATTTTCATTCTCCTTGCAAACCGGTTTACACTGTAAGCGCTCAGATAAAAACCTCGGGCTTCACCTATGGATCCAGTCATAGCCTCTGATTAGCCACCTCTCATACCCTCCCTCATCCACCTGTTTCCTAGTAGCCTAGCCAGCTCAGCCCTCGAGCAGTTTAATTATCAGGCCCGACTTTCAAACTGTATTGTTATTTTAAATTTTGTTTACTGTTTAGAGAGAGAGAGAGAAAGAGAGAGAGGAAATTATCAAGAAATTTGGAGTCTGTTTCAGATGTGCCAACTTAAAAATAATGGTAATTGAAGCTCTTAATGGATCTCAACTAATTGACTACCTATTGTGCTATCAGGGTCATTACAGCTTAACCTGTGGCAGAAAATGGTTGCTCTCAAGTTAATTATAATGTGAGGTTTTCAAAAAGAGGATGTTAGTAGTTCAAGAAGCCAATCATATTTAATGTTTAATGCTCATTCTAGTCTTTCCCAGTGTATGGACCCTGCAGTATGTTCCAATTATAGAGAAAAATATTTTGGAAGGAGTTCTGGGAGGGTTTTGGAGTCAAGAGTAGAGCCCTTCTGGTCTATTATAACACTTATCCTCTCCAGTGTGAGGGTATATATTTGAAAAATTAGGGTAATAACAGTTACCATCACACTTCCAAAAGGAAGATCGGGGAAGACAAATGTAACACCGTGTGGAAGTATGTTCTGCCTTTGAAGGGGAACGTGGCATAATTATTATGCTAATGATGAATACATCACACTAATGTGAACATTTACTGGAAAACCTAAGTTGTGCCTTCCACTGAAAATTATTTCAAACCCTCATAATGAAGAATAAGGGATAATGCTGGAAGCACATGCTTTTTCTTAGTGTTTCTAATGCTGGCGATCTCTGTGCCCGGAGGGATTTTGTTTTGCCTTCAGCGATGTACTTAACCATCCCACTCGAGTAGCCAAAAGAAAAGAAAAAAGAAAAAATATATATCTCCCTGTTTTCAGTGGTAACAACAATCATGTGAAAAAGGTTTAACCTCCAGAGGCTGCTGATTCCCACACAGTGCTAAGTTATTTGCAATGAGAAGGAAGGAATCCAGGAAGGAGAAGAGGGGGACCTGAGCTGGTACAGACCTGCCTGTAGCTGCTGTTGCCTGTGTCCCACAGCTGGTGCAGAAAGGAAGAGGTCGAGAGACTTTTGGGACGCTGCTGTCCTTGGAGTCTGCCTCTTAACTGCATCTCTAAGTGTCCAGAGGAACTCGCTATGGTGTCAAGAGATTCTTGGGTCCTAGCCCCTTGTCCTGGGCATGTGGCATTAGCCTTCACGGAAGGAAGGACAGCCCTTCAGAGAGATTACAAAAGAAGTCTAGTGGTTCCTGCTTCAGATGAGCTTTGTGCCTGGGGTGGCTAGTCTTTATCCTGTTCCTGATTACCCATCTAGAAACAGGCCCGTTGTGAATAGAACACATGTGGAGTAACACCGAAATCCTCATATTCGAATTTCCCTTAAACAAGGGAAAACGTGAACTACTGCCATTAAGCTGCTATATTTATTCAGAATGTATTTAATACGTGTTTTATTGAACCAAAATATAAACACTATGAAGTCTGCCATCTTAACCAGTTATCTGTGTTCAATTCAGTAGCACTGATTACATTCGGAGTATACAGCCATCAACTGTGCATTTTAAAAAACAGATTTTTCATACCGAACAGAAACTCCGTGTCTCCTGAGAAGTAACTCCTATTATTGTCTCTGCCTCCAACATAGTCTGTCTATCCATGCGTTTGCCTATTCTAGACACTACATATAAATGGAATAATATATTTGACTTTGCATACCTGGCTTGTTTTCTGTTTTTTTCTGTGTGCATAATTCACTTTTAACAATAACAGAATGACTCTTTTCTAATAACCTACCTCTTTTTGTCTTTTCCTGAATTATGTAAAAACCACTGGAAAAATATTTCTAGTTTTCTGTTTTTTTTGTTTTTTGTTTTTTTTAATCCAAAAGAACAAGTGAATGGGTCGTTGCTGCTGAAACAGTTGAACCATTAAATTGTCACATATTTTATCTTTTTGTTATTACTACGTTACGGGTATTGTTCTCTTATCGTGTGATATTTGCATGTATGTTGTAGAAGAATTTCACTTCTTCTTGTCTAATAAATAGCAAAGAATAAGTGAGTGATGGGGGATGCTACAGTGGACCAACGGTGCATCCGATATGTAAATATGCTTTACCAGAAATGTTTCAGCGTCTCGGTTTTTAGGGTTTTGAACTCTCGCATGGGCTATCTTGAGCATTGAACCCAATGAGATGTACAAAACTCACATATTTTAGATGTATCTTTTACATGTAGAATAAAGGTGAATTTGGTGCTTTTAGTACACCTGCATTTTGACTGTGGCCTATGGAATGAGTTCAGTATGGAACTTTTCATCCATTATGTCATGGCTGGGCTCAGATGTTTTTGATTCTGAAGTAGTATGCC